CTTAAAATAATTCATTAAAAATATTCTCAGATCACTTTATGATCGGCATCTTACTACACTTTAGCTCTAATAACTGGCACAAGTTGTCATCTCCGCAGCAATTAAAACACTCTCGCACAAATGGTTAAGGCAATGGCATAACAAAGAAATAATTCACAGCCACCCGAATAATTTGGTGGACTATCACAGTGGAAAGACAGCTGATCTGCGAAGAGCTCTGTTGTCCGAGCAGCTGAATACGCCAATCTAAAATGCGATTGATTCAGCATTGTTGGTACTTGACAGGTTTCATGTATTTTTAAAATTGTTTTTGTATTTTCAAAATCTACTCGCTATATCACAAAGGATTTTTCTTGAAATTATTAAGAAAAGAATCTATAACATTTTCTTCAGTTCTTTCAAACCCAACCAGATCAGCCTCAACGATCCACAATGGCGGATCTAGACGGGGGTCCGGAGGTTCTGCACACTCCCTTCCCCCCCCCCCCCCCCCGCGCATCAGACCTGTAGGTTTTTTTACTGCTTATACAAATTCCAAAATTCTCACAATGATAGGATCGCGTATTCCTACTCTGTATGAAGTGTCTTGCAATATGTCTTGGCTTATTTGGGCCACTACGAAAAACAATTAAAGGTTTTCTCTGTCTTCCGATTGAAAGTTTGGACTTCCTTCCAATCCATATCGTTGCCCGCGAGTTCCACATACTAGATAGCGGGTTTTACGATAAATGGTGAAAATAAATTCTGATTTTGTCTCTTTTCCTATAAGATCCTACAAACCCTCGATCAACCAAGCAGAAATACAACAAAAAGTGTCCTGCGCACAGCTCAAGGAAATATTTTAACTTTATTTACAAACGGGTGAAAGCAAGCGGCAAGAAGTACGATTTTTCCGTAGTCAGTAATGTCTCGGTAAGTATTAGGTTCTTAAGCATTCGATTTATCCCCTCCTCTCTCTCCCTGAAAACCATGTGATCCCAAAAATCCTCCACCCCCTCCTCGCAGGTGAATAATGATTGGTTACTTAGAGCAATTGAATGAAAACCGCTGGTCATGAATAATGCAACAACAATCTGTCCTTGTTTTCCTGAAGGACATCCCGCATTGTTTCCGGTTTTTCACATGACTTTCACGGGATCGGCATTCAGCTGCAGTGTGGGAATATGGAGGTCGGACTTCTCATTTGTGCGGCATTTTTTCTCGCCTGCACCGGCCTTTGCACCGCTAAACCGCAGGAACTCGTGTTCCTTGAAAGCAGCCACGATTTGGAAGCTTGGCGAGCGGAGGGTTGGGAAAAAGCGGAAAGACTCTCCCCGTCGGAAGATGTTTTTCTCACCTTCGCTCTCAAGCAAAGAAATTTAGAATCGCTCGAGCGACATTTCTGGCAGGTCTCCGATCCCAAGTCGTCGGAATATGGCAAACACTTGTCGTTATCCAATCTGACGCAGCTTGTATCACCTTCTGAAGCGACTACTTCTACAATCAACTTATGGCTAAGAAGGCATGGCATTCAGCAGAGCGACTGCACGACAATTCTTACCGGAGATTTCTTGACCTGCCGAATGTCTTGTGCAGCAGCAGAGGCACTTCTTGTTGGGGCGAAGTTTCACCGCTTTAGACATACAAAGCTCACACGGCCCGTGATTCGCTCGACCCATCTATACAGTGTTCCGAAGACAGTGTCTCCTCATTTGGATTTCGTGGGTGGGGTACTTCATTTCCCAGCGGTGAATGGCCCGTCCTCTCCCAAAGTTAATGAGTACGCGCTCTTCGAGATTGAGAAAAAACCATCAGTTAGGGGCCAAGTACACATCGGTGTTTACCCGAGTGTTTTACGAGAGCGTTATAATGTTTCCGATGTCGTTGGCACGCATCCCAAAAACTTACAATCTGTGGCACAATTTCTGGAACAGTACTACAGTCCTTCTGATCTAAAGGAATTCTTCGCCTTGTGGGGAGGTTCCTTCAAGCATCTGGAAGAAATGGCCAAAGTTATTGGGCCCAATAGTGGTCGCTCTGGCATTGAAGCTAGCCTGGATACCCAGTACATCATGAGTCTGGGTGCAATGGTACCTACGTGGTTCTGGAGCACTGGTGGGCGTCATGAGTCACAAGAGCCCTTCCTGGAATGGCTCATTGACATCAGTAATCGCACAGATGTACCGTGGGTGCACAGCGTCAGCTACAGTGATAATGAAGACACACTGGATGTCACCTACATGAACAGAATCAATGTAGAGTTCCAAAAGGCTGGTGTTCGAGGACTCACTTTCCTCTTTGCCAGTGGAGACAATGGTGCTGGCTGTAAAAAGAAGAAGTTTCGCCCCATGTTTCCATCATCATCCCCTTATGTTACTACAGTTGGCGGAACAGCATTTAATGATCCTTTCACAGTGTCTGATGAATATGCCTATGACATAAGCGGTGGAGGATTCAGCAATGTATTCGATCGTCCTTCTTACCAAACTGATGTTGTTGAGAATTACCTGAAGACAGGACCACACATACCTGCGGCATCATACTTTAATCAAGCAGGGCGTGGTTTTCCTGACATTGCAGCCATATGCAATCACTTTTGGATCATCAATAATAGGATTCCTGTTCCAGGGGTCATGGGAACATCAGCTTCAACACCAACCGTGGCTGGTATCATTTCATTGGTGAATGATGCACGTTTTCAACAAGGGAAATCTTCCCTAGGATTTTTGAATCCTTTCCTGTATCAAAATGCAGCGGCAATGTATGATGTTACAACGGGTTATAATGATGGTTGTCTTGAGGGAGATACAGGATTCTATGCTGCTGCTGGTTGGGATCCTGTGACAGGCTCAGGTAGTCCAAACTTCCCTGATTTGGTCAAGGCTGCCCTAAGCAATCAATGAAATTTCAGAAGAGGTAGAAAAAAGTCATATAAAGTTATCACAATATTGAGATGGTAGGGAATTAAAGCAAACATTGAAAGACAGGGCTTTTTAGATATATCACTTTGTATCATGTCACATTTATGCTTAAAAAATTGCAATCCAAGAATTCGGGTTTTGTATGTGAACACTGTTAATCAAAGTTTTTGGATTAAGATTTTTGGTAAATAAAAATCATTTTTGAAACTGCATCTGTATTTTGTGATGAGTTCTAACAAGAGTTAATTTCATTAAGGTTTTCAACTGTAAACAATTCCATCACCTCTCAAAGTGATGAGCATCTACAAGGTTGTGCTCTAAGAAAAATTGAAGGGAGCCCAGAGTTCTGAAATTGTGAAATTCAGGGTGCCCAGCATATGCTTTTTATGGAAAAACTAAAATTTCTAAGTTGCCCATAAGCAAAAGTTAGGCACAAGGTGCCACCAGGTGCTGCTAGACCACAGCCATGATCTAATTTTTCCCAATAGTATCACTGCTGGATCAAACCTACTGTAAGGTTGTGAAAATAAAGCAAATGATCGTGAACTCAAGAAGCTCGTAACCCTTTGACTACTAAAAGTGACTTGCATCTAATTTCTCCCTTTACTGTTTTCCCCAAATCATTCTTTAATCCTTTAACTCCCAAGATCTCAATAGTAATTCTCCTTACTGTCTGCCAAATGATTCTCATTATGTTAGTTTGGAGAATTTGGTATTGGATCAATTAGTAATCCCATGATTGATATATTTCTCTATTCTTATCACTTGTCTGTATGAGATTGTATAGATATAGTAAGGAGAAATTCTGTCTTGGTCACTCATAGGACTTAAAGGTTTAAGTTCATGAGAATAAAGGAAATGATCACCAACTTTAAGAACTCTCAATTGTTTAACAAATTCTCCTTGTCAGCACCTCAGGAAACAGAGAGAGAACAGTATGAAGAACATTCTTACTGATGTTAGGGTGCAAATGGCTGATTGAAATTGTAAGGAAATGTATACAGAATAGTTAACAGAACTTGCATGCAAATGTTTGGGTGTAAATGGTTACTGATGGGCTGTTGCCCTTTGTTCTTTATACAGAGTACTTTATCAACTTGTGAGCCCCTCTTCTGTTACTGGGTATTCATATTAGACTAAATTTCTTAACTGCTCACATTTATCCCTGTTTCTTTGGCATTAACCAACTAGATGCATTGTTGCTTCTCCTAGACACTAGAAGATGGAAGTCCATTACAGACTACATTCCCCCCACCTCCCCCAACGCTGTCAGAATTTCATAGGATTAACATGACTCATGTACATCCTGAGCGCAGAGGAGTAATGTCTGACATACGTGTGACCACTAAAACCACAACATGCATACAGTTAGACCTTGAACCAGACATGGCAGTCCAACAGGCAAACCTAAGGCCAGCACCTTTACAACCCTTTCTCTACTGACAGGTAATGGTAATAGGACTGAGTGGAGTCCACTTCCTGTGCAGTGGGAGTCTGATTTGTTTATCATGAGTATGGTCACAGACTGACCTGGAGGACACAAAGTCTTGTCACCAATTAATCATAAAAATTACAATTTTGGAGAAAAAGAGAAGAGCCAAGTTATGAAAGAGAAAATTTGCTGTAAATGACTGACAGGGAGGCATAACTTGTTTAATGTCCCTCTCAAATAGACTACAGTCAAAATGAACATGATTGTTTGATCTAAAACCACAACTTTGAATGTGATTGGCTAATTGAACTGTCTGGTAACAAACTTTCTGATAAAAAACTGTCCCATAACAACTTGGCAAGTGAATTACTGGAAAATAGGACTTTTTTTAAACCAATCACAGTTGAGAAAATTGTAAATTTTTTTATTAGTCTAAGTGTTTGCACACTTTGTTGTAAGCTGAACCTTACTCGGAAGTATAGCAGATGTACAACGAGAACCTCACAATGATCAGGAAATTGTCGTTGTCCCCCTTCTTACAGCACTGTGTGAACAACTGATAGGAATATTGGAAAATCATCCACAACAAAAAGTCTCTGAATGTGAGGCATTTTCAAACAATTACTTTTAAAAGGCACCCTCATGCTGCTTTTATTAAAATGCATTTTGCTTCACGAGAAAATTAGTAACCACAAATTAAGACACAGGAATCTTTGAATCCATGACTTTCCCCAGTTCCTTAAGCCACAATGTACTAGGTTCATCCTTGGAAATCCCTGTAAAATATTTACTCTGTAGTGAACTGTGAAAAATCCAACTAATTTTAAAAAAACCAATGCCAAGGAAACAACTTGAATCATGAGTGTTTTCCATAGATGAGACTGCTTTAAATACTGGTAATTCTGGAAGTTTTCAAAACAGATTACTTCCATTTTTTTATTTCTCATTCTTTCACTGGTTAAAAAAAAATAGTTCACAGAAAACAGTATTTTTTGAAATAGGGAAGTCCCTGTTTTCATCATTCAGATTATCTGGTAGAGATCTGATTGAGATGAGGTATTGAGACCTCAATGTTTCTACAAGGAACTGTCTTTGTTACAAATTTGTAGCATCATCTTTTTTTGTAAATACATGGCTTAAGTTTTAAGCCCTCCAGTTTGCCAGATGAAACTGACATTTTAGAGTCCTGAACCTTTACAAAATCAAACAGAACGAACATCTTGTTGGTAGAGTCCTAGGAGATAAAATAAATTGTTATTACAAAAACATGCATGGCAGTGATCATTCATGACAAGTATATCATAACCTACAACCAGTTCTTCATTTTGCTCTCAAACCAAAAACCAAAAGCTTTCACAGAGAAGAGACTGGGAGAAGTCAGTGTAACCAGACAGTGTTACAACAACAACGATAACACCACCCAACCTTAGATCACCAGGTATTGGAATAGACTTCGCAGAAACTGTTGGGAATGGCTTATCAATGCTGGGTAACTGTCCAAATCCTGGTTTTTAACAAAATAATATTACCCTTGGATTTTGAGAATCGCGATGACTTATCTCCAACATAAATGCAGGAGGTGAATTATCAAAATTATCTGAGCTTATAATAATGATAATAATAACAATGATAGTAATATATAGTAGCAACAGTAATAGTAACGATCTTTAGTGTAGTTACTCAAGATTTGGTTTTAAATAATCTTTTCTGCATTTTTGCCTCCTTTTCATTTAGGAACATAAAAAGAAAATATAATGAGAGAAAAAATATTGAAAAATCTTCAACCAACTGGGGCGTACTGCCATCATAATAACCCATTTAAAAATAATTTCATACCAAAGAATAATTTTACTGCCGACTGAAAAACATAAAACCAGGGAGTAGAAATAAAGTTACCATAGTGAATATCACACCTCATTCTCCAGTTTAAATCCTAGTCTAAGTAGAGACCTGACAAACTCTGCTGTGTCATTGATACGACTTGTCACCTCTGCCACTTTCAGAATACCTCTACAATAAAAATTATACAAACTATTGTATCATAAGGCATGTAATAAGGTTGTACTTAGGTTATAGATTAAAAATACAGTAATCTGATTTTTATGGCAATATGAAACTCCTAGATGCCCTGATCCTATGCACAATAATTGGGCAGTCCAAGCTGTAGTCAACTCTGTGATGAAGACTTCAACCTATTTTATAAAATTATACTAAAACCTAAATTATTAAAAATATGTAGACCTTACAAAATTCTTGCTTTTGAAAATAGGAAAAAGTTCCTTGTGACTGGAGCACTCAAAATTATCATGATATAGAGGTTATCTCTTTTACAGTTACAATATATTACTTAGTGTTACCTGTGGTACATATAAATAAATCAAATTAAAAAAAGAGGTAATGACTGAGTCTGTACCCCAGTTTAAGGACTCTGTGGGCTTCTGTCAAGAAATCGACAAGGTTGGTTCCCATTAGTGAAAGACAGAAGACAGCAACATCGACACTTTCAGGGCTTAAGGGGACCTGAAATGCAGGAGACATGAGTTTAAAGCCACTACAGATGAATCAGAAATAAGTCTCAGCAGAAACAATAAATCACAAACCTGAATGACTTGTGATTGACACAAACCTTTGCCATGTCGCATGCTGTTACAAACTTATTTTTGGCCACAAGATCAAATGAATGTACTTTGTTTACAACACTCTGAGCAATTGCTGCTTCTCCACAACCAAAATCTGCAACCACATTGGATATTGGTCTACAAATAGATAACACTGACGAGTAAGTAAATATTATAACTACAAATGTAAATAAGCAGATACCATCAGCATTGTTTGGGAAGAAACACAAGCCAAAAAAACAACCTTTGTGTGAAATAAACTCAGTGTTCACACTTAAGCCTGTAAGATCTGATAAGAAATTCTCCTTTTCTTCTCCAACATGTTTTCTAGTAAATAGGTATAGAGCTATTGGCATTAGATCAAAACAACAACCTCAAGCTGATAACCTTGTACAATGTATCTGTAATGTAAAGAAGAGCTACATGGCGTAAATGTTTGATTCATAATAAAAAAGCAAAAATAGATACTAGTCATTTTAGTTTCCACAGTGACCAAGCCAAGGAAAATTGTACAGTATTATAAAAAAAAAAAATTAAATATCACCGGCCACTGTAAACCACAGTACATTGTATTCAATACCTTTTCTTCAACCATTCTATGATTTTGTCAACAGGATTAACTGGCCATAATCTGACTTGATTGTTGAAACCTTTGTGATAAATATCAAACAGGTTTGGATCTTCAGAGAACATTTCAGCTGCCTCCTTCCCTGTTGTAGTGTAGAGTTGTTCATTTATCCATCTGAATCGAGAAGATTCCAATTGCTTAGTCATCTTTTCATGAAGACTTGACTTACTTTGAAGAGCAGAGGGAGGATGAATGTTTTCACTTGTGACCCGGGGGTTTTCAAAGTTCTTTCCTGCTACTGATTCTTCATAAGGGCTATGGAAGTCTTGTTCCCTATCTTGTTTTTTCTTCTTTCTTCTTTGTTTTTGATTTGCCTCTGGAGCAGTTTGCTCTGAATTCGTTATAATTGTAGAATTGTCTACATGACCATTATCATCCCCTTTATTTTTCTCTCTTCGCCTCTTTGTCTTGGCTTTATTAATTCCAGACTGATTTACCCCTGCTGTGGTTTCAAGATCTGAAGCGATCCCTTCATTATCTGTACGAGGCTGACAAGTGGGATCAGTACTTTTATGACATCGATTGTCACTAACACCCTTTATTTGATCCTTCTTCTTGTGCTCATTGCTATCTTCCTCGTCACTTTGACTCATCAATATGTCCTTCTTTTCTTTCCTGCTCTTTCGGCGATTTAATTTCTTACTGCGTTCTTGTTCTAGAGTCTTTTCCACGGGTCCCGTATAATTTGAAGTCGCTTTATCAACCTCGAGATCTTGCTCTTTCATGACATTGGCATCACCTCTTTCGTTCTCTGGACACTCTGAACCTAACCTTTGCTCTGTCTTAAATTTATTATTATCTCTCTTCTTCTTCTTTCTTTTCTTTTTTAACTGTCCCGTTTTATTGTTGCTTTCAGTAGCTTTTCGTTTCTTACTCTCTGAAGCACCCACACCATTCTTGAGTGATCCATTGCTCGCCAGAGAAGTAGAATATTTGCCATTTTTTGAGGATATATCCCCGAACAAATGATGAATGAGAGAATCCTGTTCCTTTGATGTGCTTTCCCACTCCAAAATCTCGAAAGAGTCTTGCATTTCTGTCATCTTAAGCTGTAATTTGCCAGATTTGTATATGGCCATGCACGTCCGCCATGATTGAAAAACAATTCTTATGGTCAGCGTGAATCCAAACTGACTTACACCGGAGTGAGGCTACAGTCGACCTCTTCAGCTCGATCCACGATCCATCATGGCGGTGGGAAAAAATAAGAGACTGACCAAAGGAAAAAAGGGACTAAAAAAGAAGATGTGAGTGTTATAATAAAAACATATTTCCATGGAACTGTTTGTCTTTTATGTAAGTCTCACTCTATGAAAGTAGATGTCGTGGATGGCGAGAATTGGTCAAGGATTCGAGCGGATGCATACTTTGTGTTTTTATTTCAATTCTGCGAATGGATACTTTTAGTTGGATGTTTGACATTTTAAAGTTTTTAAAGTGTCGTGGAAATTTAACATTCCGATAAATGCTTTATATGGAGGTGGCTCTCAGGTGTGGTTCTGTAGAAATTATGCGAAATAGTAAATATTATAGTAAATAGTTTTTTTTGTTTTTATTAGCGTTGATCCCTTCACCAAAAAAGATTGGTACGATGTCAAGGCTCCGTCGATGTTCACCATCCGACAGATTGGCAAAACCATGGTGACCAGGACTACTGGAACCAGTAAGTCACTTTGTTTAAAGCGCTATGCCTGAGATGGGCCAAATTCAATTTTGTGTAAATCAATTCGGTATTCTGTAACTCGCATAAGTTGTCCACTTTCGACATGTAATCCCAGTCTCCTACTTTTTTCTTTCGTAAGATTCGAAAAATGATTCTCCTAGCTGACAGGAATGCATGTCTTTGGTGTTCGTTCGTTAGAATTTAGCTGAACGTATAAACAGTATCTCAAAGTTGATAATTTTCCTAACTTTACCTTGCCTTTCAAGCAATGTAGAAAACTGTACTGTACTACTCACAAATATGAGACCATAATATTGCCTTATAAAGGCATGGACTCCAAAAAGGACTTTTCCAAGCCACCTGCTCTGAAAAAGGGCTAATGCTGGAAATATCAGCTGTAGAAAATATTTGCAGAGGGCAATTTATGCGAGCAACTCTGCAGATAAAATTAAATTGTCTTTTATACTCTTCACTGATGCAGCACCATAGTTCCTTTAGAAACTTATCCCCTTTACTTTCCAAGGTACTTACTTCTCACCTACCCAGTTCAAGGTTTGTACTGTAAGCTGCATTCCAAGTTTTTTCCTCTTGGATTTTTGACTCAAGGGCAAAACTAGTGGGCCAGAAATCCAAGTGCAAAAAAGGAGGTTTGAGAAATTACAGCACTGACCAAGAAAACAAGGGTAGTAGTTTATTTTATATATCTCTAGGTTCACAAAATTTACTTATTATGACTACCCTTCATTCACAAAAATTCTGTAATTTCTTTTTGTACAGAAATTGCTTCTGATGGTCTTAAGGGACGTGTGTTTGAAGCATCATTGGCTGACCTCCAAAACGACGAGGTTGCTTTCAGGAAGTTCAAGCTTATTGTTGAGGATGTCCAGGGTAAGAACTGCCTCACAAACTTTCATGGCATGGACATGACAACAGACAAGCTGAGGTCACTGGTTAAGAAATGGCAGGTCAGTATTGTGGTCATGATTTTCAGTTGAGTGTTTAAATTATGAGGAGCAACAGTGCACATGATATTTGTTAGTAAGCAGGTCATTTTTCCAGGCAGTAATTTGAATTTGGGGCAGCACATTATCGTTGCCATCCCCACTCGCTTCACCAGCAAAAAATATATTTCCTTTGTACAGTTTACACTGTAATATCAGTATGTTTATTCTCCACACTGTTCTCTGTACATTTCTTGAGGTGCTGACAAGGTGAATTTGTCAAGCAATCGAGTTTCTTTAGTTGATGCAGGGCATGAAATTAACTTTTTTTTCTGATAGCCATTTGGCTCCTAAATTCTTCAAAGTGGTAGCCAATTCAAAAAAAGTTGGTCGCCATTTTCAAAGACAAACAAAATCTTTGTTTACGCTGGCAGCGTTCTAGATAGACCCTCCAAAATTAAATTAGGGAAAAGATCTTTAACGTGCTACAAAGTGGACACTAGGATAGATGATATACAACGTTCAGGCTTATCTAAATCCAAGATGGCGTCTAGTTATCAATAGAGATGCATGTGCTACGTTTTGGAAACAAACTTAACGAGGATGTTTGCCGCAGATTTATCTTTGCAAATCTTTTCTGATTCACTATATCTCTTGGTAAGGTTATGATGAAACGTTCTAGTCGCCAATTTGGCGACTAACTTTCAGGATTTAGTTGCCAAAGTGAAAAATTTAGGTGCATTGGCGCCTGTATTAGGTGCAATTTCAGGCCCTGTGATGATTATTTCCTTTATTCTGGTGATCTTAATGCTTTATTCAGGGGTGATATTGTAAGGAGAAAGTAGATGCTGGTCACTCTAAGGGGTCAAAGGTTGAATTATGTCCCATACTGTTAAGAGTTTGAGATTTTTCCATGAAGGAGGAGGAGTGTTGGAAAGAGTAGCTGAAAAAAAGTGTCTGGTATCAAGCTTGATCTGTATTCTTAATCCATTATTTTTCTGTCTGTTTTATAGACCCTGATTGAGGCAGCTGTTGATGTGAAAACCACTGATGGTTACCTGTTGAGGTTGTTTTGCATTGGTTTCACAAAAAAGCGAGCCAACCAAATCAAGAAGACAGCCTATGCCAAGCATTCACAAGTGAAAGCCATTCGCAAGAAGATGGTGGACATCATTACTCGTGATGTGAGCACCGGTGACCTCAAGGATGCAGTTAACAAATTGTAAGTTATGTAACACTGGTAAAATTGTCTGTGGTGAAAGTGGAGTGTAATTAAGAGAACATGAGAAAAGTTTATAAATCATGTGCTCAGAAGCAAGTGGTTTACAAACTTTTAGAGAGTTCCCCCAACATCCTGTGTGTGGTCTAATGGTTTTCTAAAATAAAATTCAATTTTCATTGATTGTTTATTGTGTTAGTGTATGGAAATTCACAGTGCATCTCTCAGATATTCTTGGAGAGTATGCAAATTTTGGGACAAAGGTGGAGCCAGTGTTTACAGAATCTTATTGAATTGTTGTTTCCATTTGCAGAATCCCAGATGCATTTGGCCGAGACATAGAGAAGGCATGTCAGTCCATCTACCCTCTCCACGATGTATTCATCAGAAAGGTTAAGGTTCTCAAGAAACCCAAATTTGATCGTAAGTTTGCTCTCTATTACTTTACAAGGAGCATTCAAATAGTATGATGTATGTTAACTTTTAACACTGCATCCACTAAAACCTGGGTAACCAAGGCACAAGACAATGTAAAGGGATTTTAACTCCCAAAATCTGATTGTTATTTCTCCCCTTTAGATGTTACACATTTAATAGTAAATTAGTTACGAGAATTTGGTGTTAGATCAAGATAACTTCTATCTGATAAGTTTGAATATTCTCATTACCTGTTTGTTGGATTATGTAAGGATATTATAGGGAGAAGTTTCATGTTGATCACTTCTGGGAGATAAGGGGTTAACATGCACCACTTCATCTCTTGCAAGGTCAGCTGTAGTTGTAGAGAAAACCCCCTGAAAAAACCTGTATATCAAGTATTGGCCGAATTGATGAACTGAATTTGATAGTAGTGGAGTCTGTATTTTGATGAAGGCCTTCCAGTTACCCCAGCATTAGTAGCTGGCTTGAGAAATAAAAACAGGAGATCTTCTGGTATTATTAGTAACAAGAACCATGATTTATTTCACGTCAAGTAAAACTGGATGTTGCTTGCAGCAGTTATTGCTCAACATTATGGCTCTTTATAGTTTGTAACAATGTCAAAAGCAAATGCTAGATGATGTACTTTGCGGAAAAAAATTTTCAACTTGCAACAACAGGATGTGCACATTGTACAGTACAGGTCACTCTAGTTTTAACTTTCAGTGCAACATCTCACAACAAGTGGAAAGAAAAGGCAACTGGTCTTATTTGGTGGTAATGGTTTAAGATTAAACATGTCCTATACTTTTTTTCCTTTCAGTTGGCAAGTTAATGGAGATGCACGGCGAGGGAGCAAGCCACAGCACCACAGATGAGAGTGGCACCAAGATTGAGCGCGACAGCTTCGAGCCACCTGTGCAGGAGTCTGTGTAAAAAATATTCAGTGAAAATTGAACATAGCAAATTAAACTTCTGAAAGAAAATGTGTGATTGTGTTTATTATCATAGAATGTTTTAGTGACAGTGTTAACCTTTTCACCCTTAAGATCTCACAAGTAATTTTACTTGCTGTCTGCTAATAGAATTTGTTACTGGATCAACTAGCAATCTCCTGATTAATGTTTTCCTATATTCTCATTTGTTTTTTCGATATTGAAAGGAAGGATTCTGTCTGGGTCACTCGTAGGAGTTCAAGGGTGTAGTATTCTGTTTACTGGAACAGTAAGGGGAGGATGAATGACATTTCTAATCTGAAATTTGTTCTCTTTTTCTGTAACGCTAAAGGAGACATGCATCAACAAAGACAATTGAAATGCAATATGTTGGTCGGTCTATTTAACTAAAACAATCATTTGCATTTTGAGTACACTGAGTTTGATTGGAGTCATATTTTTTTAGAACTGGAGTAGATGTTGCAACATCTTTGATGATATTCATGTTATTGAAGCATATTCAGAGTTCCTGCAGAGGAAATTTACAAGAACTAGACTTTTAAAAAAAAGTTGATAGGGTTTTAACTTATATGAGAAACAGTTTGCAAAGTTCTGAAGTATCAAAAAAAGTACATGCATGTTGAACGCTACCATGAATTAATACACACATCAATGACTTACAAGGAGATGATCATCTCTTCTTGAGTCTTTATTCTCGTCATTCTCGTTATAAATACACTTAATTTATAGCAACAGGAGATCACTTCGGATGATCACATCCAGAAAACGTAGAAAAATTATTTGCTGAATTTAACACGGATGAGCTTAACGTCATGTTCAATCGTTTTCCCAGTGAGGTACGACCAGGTAAGTGACATGACATTCTTATTTCCCTGATAAATTTCGATTGAAACCTTGATTCGTGCCGTCACACAATACAACGTACGATAAATATGGGTGTAGCGCGATATTCTCAATTGGACCTCAGTAAAATTGTCACGCCAAGCTCACACAAGTGGTTCCCAGGCCGTTAGTCGTTTCCCTCCAACATGTCCTTTACTGTTCGATAAGTACACCTGTCCATCTCGGGGCCGATTTCTGCCAGAACGTCATCCACCAAGGCGCGTTGTCTGGGTTGCTGAGAAATGATCAATTCACCAAAAAGGTAGATACCCATTCCCTACAAATGAGGATAAAACATGATGGAGCATTGTTGAAGCCTAAATACTCCTCATTGCCTCTCTAAGTTGGAACTTGAATTACGCATAAACAGAATCCCGGGTAGTCACCGACACTGGTAAGTAGTTATTTCAGTGCATACTAAAACAGTTAGATAATAAAACGCAAAAGATGATTTTAACTCATTTATCCCTCCAATGATCAAAAATACCAAAATTGGCAGTAATATCGCAATCTGATCGGCCAACTTGCCGTTGTCGATAAGAGTTCATACGACACTGCTTGCGTCAACGTGTCACGCACTAAAATAATCGTTTTATTTGGCGTCGATACTGTGGTAAAAAAAAAAAATTTGTTGCGGACTCACTCGGCTTCGCGTCGTGAGTCCACAAAAGTTTGACCATTGTGATGACGAATATCGTTTTTCGAAAAGATTACAGACTACGCTAAGCCACTGTCGATTTTTTAAATTTTCAGGTGCAAATCCTACGCGAGTTGCTCGGAAGTGTAGAGCAAAGGATATTTGGAGTTTAAGCAGCCAATTAGAGCACGCCTTCAACGCGATCAACTGTTTTAATATACTCCTAATTCCAATAACAGGAGATTTCCAAAAATTCAAGAAAGAAAATTTCTATTTTGAGCTTTTTTACCTACCTGATCCTCTATCAAAAATCTTCTTACATCTGTTAACCCTGGAGTGAAACTATAACGAGAATACAGGGAAATAACTATTTTTAGTAAGAGCAAGTATGTTTGTTTTGCTTCCGTTCGTGCTTTGATTGGTCTAGAAAACTCGCACCAGACTCTCGACCAATCAGATGCAAAACTAAAACCATTGCAATTTAGTCCGTCGTGATTGGTTAAAAAGAAATCGCATCATCCTCTCAACCAATCAGATGTAAGAGTACGGCAAATGCGACGCGGTCGCTCACGTTTCTCCAAACTTCACGCTGTCTACGGTGCACCACTCCCTTTGAGTTCTCATCGGTTTCTTGTAATATTTAATACTTTGGCATCACTAGCCGATTTAATCTTTTTGGTTTTTACGATACTCATTTGAAAGGCACTCCAACCATCATTAAATCAACGGCGAACACTTGCCACACTTACTTATGTTTTACCACGAGTTCACACCAGCGATGTCGAATCTGCAAAATGAAAACACGCGGTCATAACCAATGCACCTAAAATCCAAGGGCTGAGGAATATCATGCTACATAAACCTTCGTTTCGCTATGTTTTTTATTGCCGTTGTAGTGGCAGATTACTCAGAGTTCCTTTTAGGACATTCGTGTACTGTTGCAGCTGTTGAGAAATGGCTGTTGGTGGAGGCTCGACACAACTATCATCATTGGAAGTTAATTTAAACTATAAATTTAGTTACGCAAGGTGAAGGTCAGAGAAACTACAAAGAACATAAAAAGACTGTTATAGTGGTTAAAATTGGACGTTGTATTCGAGAAACGGCTTCCAGGGAAGAATTAAATGAAAACAGCGCCAAAAATAACTGACGAACCTCGGCATTTCCGTTTGATAAGTTGTAACACTTGTCCAACTGACGCAGTGTGTTATGGGATATCGCCTCTCGCTCCAAAAGTTTTTCCAGCAACAAAACAACTTGTTCAGCGACTTCCTAACATTCGAAAATAAAAGAAAGAAAAGAAACCGTTATATTAACCGTCCGGTTACAGTCATTCGCGATTTGTAGAACTACATCGTCGTTTGACTTCGGGATTCTTCGGATCGGTTCGGACAAGAGATTAAAAACTTCAAATTCCACCGCAGAATCACTAACCAATCAGCTGTTGTTCTCTAAATAATCGCACCGCAGGAACACGCACTAAATTTAGATTTTAAAAAAAGTATCGTTGGAATAAGGGTACGTCTGGGGAACAATTGCATTCACTTTATGGTCTCGTGGTTCGGATCGTTCCGAAAAAAATACCGACCCACGGTTATGACGTTTTTGGAGCGGCACAAGTACTACACAATGGCTGCTGTTGTATTTACAGGAAAAAAAAAATAGCCCTCACCAAATTGGAGCTGGGAGGTTGCTTTCTCTTTCGCAATTTGAGCGTCTTGTTCCGTTTGTTAATCATGTCTTGTTTCTTCCAGACCTGAAACTGAAAATATCCGACAATTCCACCAGATCAGCAACTAGAAATCGGCAATGAATCAATTGATAAATACCAACAGTTTTCCTGAGCTAGGTAACCGGGCACATACCTCGTTTTCCACTTGGGAAACAAGTTCATTGTCCGGGCTGTCAAACCTCTTCGGAAAAGACTGGGTACAAAAAAATAAGAACTCTGGCCGTTTAAGTATTAATCCTTTACACCCTAACATCAGTATGCATATTCTCCATACTGTTATCTATTCATTCACTAAGATGCTGACATGGAGAACATGTCAAACAATCAAGAGCTTCTCTTTAGCTTTAGTCGGTGATCCATTCATATTCTCACAACCTCAATGTGTGACTAGTAGCGTGCATACAAAACTTTGACCATTCCTATTGACTGGAAACACTTCAATTAGTCCCGAACGACAAACAACGCTGAAATATAATGTATATTATTGACAAACAATCAAATAATTTCTCTTGGAATTCTGAATAATTAAGGACTTGTAAATTTTCAAAACACTACCAATTACATTTGACCTGAGGACTTAGGCATTTTTTCTGGCCTTTGAAAAAAATTCTCTAAATCACTGATTCCTTATTCCAGAACACAATGACACTTACAAAATTATTGATTTAGTTTTTAGCTTGACAGGTTTAATGCTTTCTACCTTTTCTTCATTATTTTTACCGTACAATAAGATACCTCTCCTTTCCTTTCCCTCCCCGCCAAACCCATTCAAGGAGTGCGAAAAATCTCTAGTGGCTGGCACCTTCACAGCCCTCTCAGTCTACTCGAAGCGACTGAATAGTTTTTGTCTGCTAAACAATTCTAATAATATCATTAGCTTTTTTCATCAGCCAGTTTGGGGAGCCAGTGTCTATTTTGCGCTTATTTGTTCCTAGCTACATAACAAACTCACCTTGGGTAATCCCGGTCTTTCCAGCCATTCGCTCATAAAATTATCCTTCATTTCTCTTTAACAAGAAAGAAGCTCACAGTTACTATAGTATCACAAAAAGACAGAACGAAGGGAAATGCTTTATTCAACGGTTACGATAGAAGCTCTTGATTCTTACCTTGGTACATCGGGAAAACTTTCAACAAAGAAGCCAAAAAAGTCCTATACGGTCATAAAAAAGTAACGATTAATAACACCTCATAGAAAGTCTTGATAGCCCACAAGCGGTTAAGGATGTTTAAGAGTCGTTTTGAATTTGCATTTCACAAAAGCCGTTTTGAATTTGGATTTTATGAGAGAATGTATTTATAGGAGAATGTATCCGAATAAAAAAGAGTGTCTTAAAAATCTGCCTTCAGTAAAAATATAAAAAAAGGACGTACTTTACTTTTGAGTTATTTCTTTAACTATCTCTTTGTGACTGATGCCGTTTCAATACCAACTTAGATTTCAAGTTGTACCACCTATAACAATTGTTTTCACTTTACATAGAAAGTTATAGAAATAACTCAAAAGCAAGCTAAGATAGTCATTTCTATTGCATAATTTTTACTTGAGGCAGAAATTCCCTTGTAAAATGCAAATTCAAACGGCACTCGTAATATGCAAATTAAAAACTGCTCTTATTCAACCTGGGCTGCCTGCGGATACTGCTATATCTGACTAATTCCCCTTGAAAATTCAATATTCCTTAAAACTTTGAAAACTTTAATACTTTATACCTAAATTGCCTAGAGTTTTGACCCGTGTATCTACACCATATGCCAAAACTTCATGACAAACGAGATTACTCATACTAACTATGCCGGACACTAATCGACAATAGAATTGGCGCACTAATACAAGTAAAGGTTCACCGAGGCAGAATTCGTCCTTATACTTGGACAAACCAATTTATTTCATACTTAAGTCGATGAAAAAATTTACTTCCGACAGTTTTTTTAATGGGATGAGGATCTATACTATTGCGGCACAGCAGCTTCATTGAATCTTAAGCCATAAAAATAAACACCGGACTTACCTCTGAAGTAACAAGTTGCTCTCTGAAATGTTGGACATATTCAAACAAAAACTGATCGAATTCCTCAAGTCCAACCATAGTCGCCATGCGATGAAGTAAAAAGTATCCCTGCAAGGAACAAGACATGATCATACGGCCCTACGCTGTTGTACAGCGGTTGTATGGGGTGGTAAGGACTGCACTTGTGCCAAGAGGGTGATTCCGCCGGAGCCTGTCCCGATTTTCGTTTCATGTAGCGAGTAGGATTACTTTACTACCCCAGGATGGCATGTTAATTCACGGCTGGTTCATCACAGGTTCCCTTCCACTAACCCAAAATTTCGCCGTACCCATTTGACCCCTGACTGACATGACTGACCAAGACTGAATTTCTCCTTACAATATCAATCAGACAGATGATGAGAATAAAAGAGATTATGAATTGATCCTATACCAAATCGTCTGAATTGAACAGCAGACAGTAAGGTGGATTACTGATGAGATCTTGAGGATGAAGGGGTTGAACTCCTGGGTGGAGAAAGACAATGTGTTTTACCCAAGAACACAAGACAATGACCCGCTTTGGTCTCGAACCCGGACCTCTCGATCCGGAGTCCAGTGCACTGACCATTAGGCCACCATGTCGCGGTTTCCTGCTCTCACTGAACAAATGAACAATAAGTAAACAGGGTGCACCTTGAGGTAATGAACTTGTGTCCATTTTCTGGAGCAGATTTGACCGAACTGGACCACAGTGTGAGGTTTGATAGACACAGAATCAGACTGACGCGAGCTCCTCTTAACTGCTTCGGCTGCTGAAATAGCTGTGAATCATAAAACCAAGCGTTAATGGGGCTACTTTGAAAGTTAGACAGTTCCTTTGATTCGCTCTGAAGAAGGGCTAACTCTCGAAACGTCAGCTTTGAAACTCTTTCCGGTGACCAATTTACGTTATCAACTGAGTTGATGATACTAAATTACCCTGGTTTTTTGTCTGTTCTCTCAGTGCTATTGTTGATAAAAAAAACTGACTTTAAATAAGTAGGGGCTAGCTTGGAAACCTCACGGTTCAAAACTTTCCGATTAACTGCGTATTCTTTTCTCATAATCTTATTGTAATAGCTCTTTTTGTGAACAATAACAGATTCATTTGTTATTAGAGTCAGTTGTTACCATAACTAAAAGGAAAGGCTCTTACCAGATTTCGGTTTAGCAACTTTGGGCCTGAAACGAAAAGAAAACATCCCATTTAGTTAGCTTTACATGCAAAATTATAGGCTTGTCTTGAATTCTGCATTTCAACGATTCCTTGGTTTTGGTTACAGCATTTAGAGCAAGGTGCGTATGAAACTGACTACCTTTGCTGCCGGAGCCTACCCCTGTACGGGATGCTAGTCCACGCAGTTGACCCTCCCCCACCAAGTATTTTCCCAAGTTACACTCCAGGGTGGGGGGGAGAGGCACTGCAAAAGTAAGTCTTACCTAAATCTTCATTTGTAAGTCACTGTTATTTGCCTCTCCAAATATTTTTATCTTTACGATTTTCTTACCTCAAACACTTGAGACTATCATCACACTCCTTGATTTCAGACAATAAACATCTGTGCCGGAGAATTTGCCTAATTTCTCGAAAAAATCTGTCTTTATCACTAGACCACTGCGGAAGAAAGAAATTCGCCAAATTCAGTAGAACACAGGTTACAAAAATACTGTCTCAAAGCCTGCGTAGTTGGCAGTTTTGAAGCGATGAGTGGCCGCTTGAGATGGGAGATACTCCACCTTCGCAGCTCACAAACGAGCGCACACAAAACCATCATCAAGTGCTAAAAAGAAAAAAAAAGCAGGCGTAGCGTCTTCATGTCCATATGGGGCATTTGAGGTTGCTGAAAAAATACCGATCTTAAAACAAGTATCCATACTAGTAAGAGAGAGTGGTTCCTAAAAGCAGACCAGCCGGTCATTTTACAAAGCGTAGCCAGAAAGGAGAACTCAGGGTAACAAAGATAAAATCCAGCGAGTAGCAGAGAGGAAGACTCGGACCCAGGATCCCACCAGTACCCTTACCACTCGGCCTCTCTCCAGTACACTCTCTCTTATAATGTACATAAGTTACATGTTAATAACTTCTGGAAGTTAAAGGGTCAAGTATGGACGTAAGTAATTGTTATTCTCCAATCTCATAGTCTAAAAGTTAAGGTTTCGGTCAAGCGTAGATGAAAGCGGTAAAAATTCACCGCTTCGTGTCTCGGCAAATTTCCACCAGTATTCACCTCCACTTCGGTGAATGGTTGTCCACTATTAATGTCGGGAATTTATTTTTACTTATTTTGCGTAAGAAACACGAACTGTCCACGTACCCTCTCAGCCTTTGATTGAATCTTCTCTTCTATGAACGTGGCGAACCCCTCTGAAAGCCATTCCTCGCTCCAGTCCTTGGCGCCAACCAGGAGCCCGAACCAGGCGTGCGAGATCTCATGAGCCAGTCGCACGCGCATGCTCGCATCACCAGAAAGAAGGGACTGGGAAAGAAACACCAGATTGGGACTAAAAGACAAAAAAAAAGAGATGAAAGTCACCTTGGATTGAGTTCCAAGGTTAAGGTTTTGGACGACATAAAAGAAAGCGGAATTTTGAACTAGTTATGAGCAACTGGTCTAGGACGAAAGAGCGGATCTTGAAAACGAGAACGAACTGAATATAAACCAACCTTTTGAGTCCCATGCAAGCGAAACACTTTGGCAAAACCAACATGTCCAACCGTCTGAATGGATAAGGACCTAACAACTCGCAGGAAGCTTCTAGAAATTTAGGCGCGTATTCTAGCAACTCCTCTGCCGCCCTGTCAATCAAACTGGGCGGAGCAAACAAACGACACGTGACCGGCACATTGGGATTATCACCGTTTTTAGTGTCAGCGATTCTAGATAGCCGGCACTCCCACCAGCCCACAGCCAAGGCCAGAGTCGAGCAGGGCAGTGGACAATCCATCTCATAGTGGTAGGTCACTGCAACATGATACAAAAAAAAAAAAGGTTTCTTCTAGAAAATCCACGATGCCGATTTTTGTTAGACACTTGGGGTATGATTTTAGGAACAAATGAGCAGTAGTTTCACGACTCTCTCCGACGACTTCTGCAATTTAAATTCCCATCCAGAGTATAAGTCGAGTCCATAATTTCGTCAAAACGCAATCTGATTGATCAAACGGCACTAACATTTTTGGCCGATCACTGAGGCAGTAAAGGAAAACCAATGACACTTCGAGTAGCTTTTGACAAATGCCTCCCATTCACCGAATTAGGGAGACCAATATCTCTGTTTCTAGCGGCCGTGCATTTACTGATCGACATATACGCGCCATTTAGCTACCTCACGATTTTTCCATCTATCGTCAATCAAGATATTAAAGTTAGTCGCCTGCAATCTGTTTCAATCTTCTCCATCCTTACCGACCAGAAAATGAAAGAATTGAAGTCTTACCTTGAATATCATTCCGGGTGGTTTTCCCAACAAACTGGTTCCCACTCATTAACACAACACAGCCCTCCGGCACGTGGATCGATGCCTGCCATGTTGACATGGCAATCGGAGGCTCCTGACATGGCATCAGAGAACGATTATTGATGTACGCACCGGGTGAGTAGACAGAAGACCTGGTGCACAGAAAAAACACAATTTGAAATCATTCAATTTCTTGGAAATTTCCAGGCCATTGTAAATTTCCTCACAAATTAATGGGGAGCGTTCGGCGTTATATCAAGACAGGATTTCACCAACTAACTGATCGTTTGTTTACTCTGTTAAACTGTTTTCTAGATAACGAATTTATATCATATGCAGAAGTTAAAAAGTTACAACTAGGAATAAGGGCCCAGTTGTTCGAAGGCCGATTGGCGCTACCTAAGGGTTCAATTGATAACTGGGTCCCTATATTCGTTTGTTCCAAAGCCTGTTTCAGATAACTTTCTTCACTCTCTCTATAGCATCCATTCATCAAACTGTAGGCAGAAAGAATTATACGGAATTTTCTATTGAAGCTTTCAGATCTGAAGTCAGATTTTACACTAATCGTGGGTAGTCTTAACCCAGCTTTGAACAACCCGTCCCTGGTCAAGGACGACGCCTCACTTACTTGCCATCTTGGTCAGTCGCCCAAGTCAATGACGATCCTTCTGGACTAGTGTGGTATTTAATCCAGACACATCTGGGCCACGCCTTGCCAGTTGCTTCAGGTTTCGAAATCTGTACACACCAACCATACACTGAATACGACAGGCCCTTAAACGGCAAGGGCGTGTGGGATTTATCGCCGAGAATGTTCCCTAAGAAGCCGAGTGGTACCTCGGATGAAGTTGTTTCGTGTGACAAGAGGCCGCTTTGTTTATGTCGGCAAAATGTTACTTGGAAATCATCTGGAAGAACAACTTCGCTCACAGATTCAATGCTCACTAAGGTACTGTCTAACGTCATTTGAAATTGCTTTTTAGTGACCTCTTCGTTGCGAGGTTCAAGAAATAACACTATGTTTCCTTTCATACTTTTTTCGTTAAATTCCACAGACAAGTCAAGAATGTAGTGATACACAAGAACTTCATCAACATTTGCCATCAACGGCAAATCGTCGTTTTTATCCCATTTAGTGCCAATGGATCTTTCATCTTCACTCCTTCCCTTGCAATCAGAATCAGATTCACTCTTTGTTCTCTTCGTCGAACTTTGAGCTACGTCACAAACTTCCTCAGTTGATAGAGACCTTTTCCTTCCACAACTGCCTTCTCCCCCTGCGTTTTCACCAGCATTGGTGGCATAATCACAAACATCTTCCATATTTAAAGAGTATTTCAAGTTACATCCGTCAGTTTTGACCTCTGTGTGTTCCACATCATGACTTCCTTTACAATAATCCGTAAAATTCTGAAGCCATGATAGGTATGAGATCTTCATTTGCACTCCATTTGGCAGAGTGCAGGAACTTGTATCACTCACGGTTACCGATGACTTACTCCTGTTATTTTTCTTGTTTTTCTTGTTTTTATTCTTCTTCTTCTTCTTCTTTCTCTTCTCCTGAATTGTATGATCATCTGCCCCACATTTTCCAGAGCATGGGGCAGGGATCGTGGTGGCATTTTCATCGACCACAGATTCCATTGAGCTTCCTTCAGCCATCGACATGCTCACGCTTGTAGCATCAGAACTGGTGACTGACATCAGATTCTCAAGACGAGGCCCATCCTCAGCTCTGTACATTGTGCCTTCTGCATCCTTGGACACCTCTTCTAAATTTACACCTACCCCAACCGGGATAACGGCTGAACTCAGTTTGTCGCAACCCATCACATATTCTGAATTCTTACGCAAGACATTCTCATTGTCAATAAGCTCCACTTCCCCTTTCTCCTCTGTTATATTCTTGCCCTCCCCATCTTGGCTCGTGCCTGATGTAGAGCTAATAGCTGTACATGCATCCTGGCAAATCATGGATTCTATTCCATTGTGACACAAAGCATTGTCTGCTTCCTCCTCTTTGGACCACGCATCCTTGTGTACGGTCGCAGATAATCTGAACGTTGAAGGTGAATTCTCCAAAAGCGTCGCGTCATTTGGTTCCTCGACAAGCCTATGCTTTTTATGATCTGTCATAAAGTTGCCATCTTTTTCCTTTGACGATCCTGAATCTCTTCTAGGCGGATTAGTTGATGACAAAGAGTTTAAAGCTGATGATGGAATGTCGTGACTCATGACATCACCAATATCATGTCCTTCAGTGATGGGAACATTTTCAACCAAAGGCTTATCGTTGTTGTTGATCCCTGTTGGCAAGCTTGAAGTTTCTATAATTTTACCGTCACATGAAGGGGATTTATCGTGAAACGCTTCATCAGCTGACGCCTCAATGCAAGTTAAAGTGTTACAACCAGAGCTGAGTACAACTTTATCTTCATTTCCCTCTGTACTGGAAGTTGTAGGTGTCTCACGCTGCCACGTCGTATTGCCTTGCTCCTTCACTTCTGTAGTAAGCACATTGCTTGACACATCATTCCCAAAATTGTCGTGAAACGATTGACAAGCGCTTTCGTCTATCGTAGACGTGCATACCACTGAAGGTAACGTTAGGTAAGAGGAAGAATCTGACTCTAGATTACGCGCTGGGGGTTGGCTTTCATTTTTGGACATACAAGTGGAAGCTCCTTTCTCGTGAACAGATTCCACCTTGTTTCCTTCACTGGAAGTCACGTGGTAAGCTTTCCCAGATTTTTCAATCGTAGACCTCGACTCTACAGGCGTTGGCGCCGCTGATAGCAAATGCATTCCACACTTTCTGCTCAAGCCTGACAACACGTGGCAAGTTTCCATGTACACTTCTTCCAACGTCCAAGATGACAAACCATGTCCAACTGGCCTTTTGCTGTACACAGCTAAAAATGTACAAAAATATACAATATTTAAAACTGTTACATAGCAGACGTTCAGAGTCCTTGACAAGGGTCTAAGTCAAAATCGAGCGTAAGACCAGTGTCCTCCAGAGGCAACAGCAACTGGTGTTTTCTTCAGGTACTTTAACACGACAAAACAGTATTTTACTGGTCTTAATATGAAATAAACTTTATTTTTGAGTTACTCTCGCATGTAACCGTATAAAGATCAAAACTGGAAAGAAAAACGATCCGTAAGATGGGAATTGATGCGAGAGGAAGAGATTAACAGATGTGTTCTTTCTAATATTCTGTACGCTGGTGCTCGGCCTAACCGTGCAAAGTAACCCTAATGGTTTAATATTTAAGCTGTCTATTGTGCAGTGGAGCCGAGATTTTCCCTCTGAAGCACCCGTTTCCCACTGGCTACTTTTACTTGTTACGGTTGGTCACTAAAAATGTTTTGAAAACACCTCTACGATTCGTTGTAATCTTTAATCTACGATTCGTTGTAATCTTTAATCTACGATTCGTTGTAATCTTTAATCTACGATTCGTTGTAATCTTTAATCTACGATTCGTTGTAATCTTTAATCTACGATTCGTTGTAATCTTTAATCTACGATTCGTTGTAATCTTTAATCTACGATTCGTTGTAATCTTTAATCTACGATTCGTTGTAATCTTTAATCTACGATTCGTTGTAATCTTTCGTTGGTCACTTTAGTTTTGTTTTCACGACACTGAATTGAAATGGTTACTAATTTCTCACCTGAGGGAATTCCTTTCCCAGCTAATCGGTTCCCGTTCTCCCCAATGGCAAGATGAATCATGTAGAGAAGTACTGGGAATGAGGAAGAGCAGTCTCTGTTGTCATCTTCGACAAGCCCTGTCACCGCAAGATGTCCGCTACCAGACATTTTTTCGCTATTGCCCAGAACCTCTTTGAGCTTATTCTTCATTACAAAGGCCTGCATAGCTGTAACATGTTGAAAGTGAATTCCATAACAAACGTCACGTGTTCTGAGATCGCTCCAGTCCTTTATCAGCCTGATAAGGTCCAAGTTTGGCCGGGAAAACATGGGCCCTATTGCTACGAAGAATACTTTGAGGGCATCTTCGGGCAAATGATTAAAGTAATTCTTCAGTGACTCTTGCAAGAGGTGGACTTCATCTCCTTTCAATTGGAAAACCATATCCTCGAATTTCACGTCCGAAGCTTTGCGCATTCGAAGATTTGCAACAATAGCATCAGCCAAGGCAATATGTGATCCAGACTGCCAGGAATTGTAAGCTTCTCGGTTTGATGCTGAAGGAAAGTCATCCTCGACAAGAAAAACGACTCTCATGGATGACATGACCAAACCAGGAGGAGTGACCTAGAAGAAATGGATGACAAAAAAGATACGAGCAAGTAATTCTTGTAAAAAGGAATATAGTTAAAAAGATAAGGTACCAAAGGCCAGCTGTAACAATCGATAACATGTAAAATGGCAGGCAGAAATATTTTACACCCAACATTTCTACGGTCCCGGCAAGAAGTTGCCGGTTTTCCAGCGACATAAAAATACCGGAAACGTTATTTCCCGAATCGCAAATTTTCATTTTGTTGTTACGTTAAAAGTCATCTGCTGCCACATAGCGCTGCCTGCCAAGATCCGCCTCAGAATTTTTTCCGAATAACTCGTAGAAACTCTGCCTTCATTTCTTCGAGGTCCTCCTTTGCCAACCGTGTTGCAGCGCTTCTTGATTCAATTTGGTAAAACTAAAACCAAAATAATCCCAATAACCAATCCAATCAGAGCGTGGGAAAGTACTACTACGAACTAATGAGAACTCAAAGTTAAAACAAGCAATCTTCTCGAACGGCGGGAAAACGCGAGAGGCCAAGGTGCGGCTGGTATTAGTTTTGCATCCGATTGGCGGAGAAAATGGTGCGAGTTTTCTGAACCAATCACGAAGTGAATTAATGCAAAACCAATTACAAAAATATGACAACAGTGGTACCTGATCTTCTTTGCCTTCTGTTGAAAGCCTTTCCTCGACATTATCACAGCCTAAGAACCCTAATCCCATCTCCCGTGCTAGATCTGGAAATCCCTCGGCGCATGCTCTGTTCACGGTATCCTTCAGTCTTGTTCCACATGTGCCTGTCGTTTTCCTGCAACCCATGGTCGAGAGCATCAAATGAAGATCAGCAACTTGGGAACCAGTCTCGTAAACTTCTTTTGTACTGCCGC